TTCCTGGTGGTTGATATATGCCACACAGGTTATATTGTTCATTTTTATTAATACTATTCTGTTTAACAAATCCTTGAATGATATTAGTGCAAATTGAATTGCCTTTATTTTCAGGGCATTATATGAAGTTGCCTTTCTGCTATTGACCACAGCCTATTTATTATTTGTTTTTTTGCGACTAGCCCCAGCCTAACTAAGATGCATCGATATATGTTACTGTTGCCAAGGTGTTTGGTTTTAATGATTGCCTATTCCAATTGGCTAATTAGTTTATCTACCACTTTATCTGCTTTATAGCTTTTTCTGATAACCTTAAAGATGCGCCCACCTCTTGGCTTTTATTGTTCTGTTCTTTAACCTTATCAATTCTTTTGACTTTAATTGGGCTAGGAGTACTGTATTCATTGTTGCTAATACTTTTTCAATCAAGGATGCTAACTTTCTGACTTTTATTGTTTTTTTTTTATTACTGCTAAACATTCTCTCTTTAATTGTTTGATCTTTACTTTTAGATGTGATAGGGTTATTTCTCTTGAATTTAATCTGAAACCTAGGCAATCTATCACTTGTGACAGTATGAGTTGGCTTTTCTGTAGATTTATCATGAATCCCAGGTTCTTCAAAATATTCATAGATTTGTTGAGATGCACTAGCACCTAAGTTTTTTTCTGAGCAGATCATCCAAATATACCACGATTTAGATGCCTTGAAACCTCAAATATTTCAGAATTGGTCTCATTATCTTTGTAAAAATTCGTGGGCTAGAAGTTAACCCAAAAGGTAGACATCTGAAACAGTATCGTTGTTTCAAAAAATCGAATAGTAAATATTTTTTGGTGCCTGGGTGTAGCGGTATGTAAAAAAGGTGACTTTTATGTCTATTGACACTATGTAATTGTTTTTTCTTATAAGGTGCTTTACCGTAAGTATGGACTCTATCTTGAAATGCTTGTATTTTATAAATGTATTTAGGTGTCTTAAATCTAACACGATATGCTTCTTTCTATCTTTCTTGTTTAGTATTATTAGGTCTGATATAAAACAAGATGAATTGGCTGAGACTTTTTCAATAGCTTGTGCATCTAACAAGGCTTGTATTTCGGTCTTGGTTTCTTGTAAATCTAAACGAATATTTGTAGAACTTTTTAGTTTTTGGATCTTTATTGGGGGTTTTTGATCCCATTCTGAAAAGTAACTATTTGAAATAATTAAGGTGGGCCACAAATTCCCAAATGTTTTTAACCAGTTTTGTTTGAATAATTTTAAATATCTGGGGATATAGGTAGATATTACGAATGTGCTGCACAGTGATTATTTGCTTAAAAATTTTCTTGTAAGAAATCTGGTTTTTTAAAGCTTTTCTCAAATGTATGACGTTTTCCCTCTTGTGAACAGTAATTAATACTTAAATTTTTGATATTAGAATAATCTTGTTGTAGTTGTATAGATGCCAGAAATCTACATCACTCCTTATTGGCATTATTGTATAATTTTGCCTTGGTATTTTCTTCTTTAATCAGGTCTTTGAGTTTGTCGCCAAATACACCTTTCCTATCTCTAGAGACAGTATGAATTGGTGATATAGCTTTAAGTGCAATGTCTTTACAATATTCATTGACATATGACAAGGCATCTCATAATAATTTTCTTGCATTGTGGTTTGACCTTTGCAATAATTCATAGCCAGCTTTGGCTTCTGTATCATTGTCATCGAGTTTTGAATTTTGTAGTATTCTTCCAATGTTGTCAATTGGGTGCAAAACTGCAGAGGCATGATATGAGATGTTGCGAATAATTTTATCAAATTCCTTCTGTTACTTTGACATAGCATGAAGAAAATATTGCTCTATTTGTGGTAGTTGGTAGTCCACTTCTGCATTTCGTGGTTCACTATGTAATATTTTCTAATATTTCATTCTTGACAAGGTACAGTCTGAGTATATCTACGTGGGTAGATCTTTAAATTCACTCATGGAAAACCATGGTTTTGGTTCGTTCTCATAAACATCCTCCAACTCATGTTCAGAAATGTTACCATTATTAT